GAGCACAGAACTTTGAAATCTGGGGTATCTGAATTTAAGCACATTATGCCCCCATTAATTTGGTCCTTCCCTTCCTACACAACAGCCAAGAGTATCAGCTCTAATGGAAACCCCTTCTCTACCTGTCATATAGCCAGAAAAGCAACAACAACAAAACTCCCTGAGAGCAGTCCCTGAAGAAAAAAAAAAAACAAAACAGTCTGGGGAGTCGAGGTGATGTGCAATATATTGCTTTTCATCAACTATAATTAATTGAAAATAGTATGAAAACTTTCCTAATGTCAGCATGCATAATTGTTAACAATTGTTATTAGAAGATGAAAAGAAATGCTGTGTCAGGCTGAAATATCCCAAGAGTTCATGTGTATCATCTGCATATATAATGTGAACTTACTGTGCCAGACCTTTTCAGCTCTGCAAAAGTACAACTGGGCTAAAAATAACTCTGGCTCATAAAAAGTTCGATGTTTTGGTGTAGATATGACAGCAGTACAAAATCACTACTCAGCTCTAGATTGCTTCAGCAAAAATGACAAATGTTTTTAGATAAATTGTGGAGAGCAACAAACGACCACCATCAAAGGCTGTGTTGTGTTTTCAGACAAAAAAAATTCAGGTTAAAACTTGTTCTTCCTGCTTCTGTCCCGCAGCTGTCCATCAAAACCAGCTTTCTCCCTGCGGTCTATCAAATATTTCCCTCACAAATCAATTTTACACATGATCAGCCCATACCCCTACTGAGCTGAACCTCCCCGTTAATTAAGTGAAGAAATTACCATATATATTATATTAATGCAAACATCATTCAGCTAGTAATTCACGGCTGATCTGGATAATGGAAAGGTTGAACACCCATTAACCCAAGCCAACAAAATGGGTTGGCTGAGAAATTCTAGCAGGTCTCATGTGACTCTTCCCTCTAACTGCAGCTCTGCGGTATCTGCTATTGTAATAATTAAAATCCTCCTGGTAGATCAATACTGGAATCTCTTTATGGGAAGTGCCCTGATGGAAATGTCTCAAGGAAGCCGGGGCTGTGGAACTCTGAAAAATTCATTTTTTTTATCTGACAATTATCACCACACTGCAGACTAATTCAACAGTGCACCCCTCTCACTCTGCTTTGAATGCACTGGAGATTGACATCTAAAAAACCCTAACATCTCATTTTAACAAATAAAGGCACTATTTCCACATACAGTTTGGAATTATCAGCAATCATGAAACCAGACAAAAAATTAATATACATTAAGCACTTCATCTTCTGATGGCTTCCTCTGAGTCTCAGTTATCGCAGCCTTCTCCTCATTTCCTCTCTTTGTATCTTCCTGTATTGATCTCTGCCTTTTCATCTCTTGAAAAAAGGGGAAAGACATGTAAAATTATTATAAAGCTTGATATTTATGTATTGAAATGTGGACTTACATTATCGGGTTTTCATATATTTATTGTTAAATATTATTAAATCATAAGATGGGAAAACAGGTTTTATATTTTCTCCTACCTGGTCTGCTCTCCACGTATTGACTGAAAGACTGGAGCTGAGTTTTTCTGACGGTAGAGTCCTTGCTGAACACAACGGGATTTCTAAACCGTTCTGCTGCTTTTTGTAATCGCTCAGCACGATGTTCCTCTGTTCCATTCTGCTAGGAAAAAAACCAGACACACAACAGTTTCTTTTGTTTACAAACGGGAAGACAAGAATTCGAAAAGGTACGTTTCGGCGAGGGGACAGGATGCAGCTTTTGCAAAGAGGATTTCACAACTCGGGCTGCGGTTTATATAGGATGAAAGTATCAGCTGCGGAAAAAAAGGAGAAGACTGATTAACTTTTCCTTTTTTTTGTTTAATGTGTGGTGGCAACGACCAGCTTTTTCCTACGTGGGCACCCTCCTGCAGGACTCTCTACTTACTCAACAGCCAGACCTATTAGTTGTGACCGGCATTTGCCAGTGATTCCAATTTTAAACGAAAAATCACTCCTTTGCAACTTTGATTTGCCAAGTGCTGCGCATGCTGCTGCCAAGTAGTGGCGTCTCTACCCCTGAACACAATCTGTATCGTTTTAAAAGCGTGTTGCCTTTAGCCTGTCTCCCTGCCCGGTAAAGAAATCTGTCGTTTTCTGTAGTCCCACAGACTTGTATGACAAGAAGAACTAGTTTCTAATTTTATGCCCATTGAGATAAACCACTAATGCTAGATGAAGGCTAAAAGGTAGGATTATAATACTACCCCACTGAACTGCATTTGATCAGCTATAACTTTCCAAAGCCAGATTTGTAAGTAAGCCCTTTACAGCTAAGGAAACTACAATTATCTTTTCCAGGGCTTCCTATGTTAATACTGGTAACAAATTCAAATGGTTCTATCAACACGAAATATCCCAGAAGACTGAACCACCGCAGCGTGTGGAAACTGCAGATACCGAGGTGCTGTGTACCAAACAAATATTTCATTTTATACCTAATCTTTTATTATTTTTATTAAGTGTTTTGAAAGTAAATAGGCAAAGGCTAAGATGCATGACTAATAGCTAAGCCTGCTGAATGCTGAAACTGGTTATCAAAAGCTACCAAGACTTTGCCCTTCCTCTGCATTGAGACAATCGGTAATGAGGGAGTTCTCCAATGGCCTATTCTCTAGCCTCAAGGAGGCCGGGGATACACAATCCCCAAGGGAAGGTAACAGTTTATCCTTTTCCACAAACACAGAATGCCTCATTTAGAAACGTGTAAACTGCATTTTATTAAAAAACAAATCCACCTCAATGCTGAGAGCTCCATGAGAACAGATGGACATCATATATTCCTTATAATGCCGCTTTCCAACTCTTTACTTAGAAAGACGTACACAGAGATAAACTGTTAAGTTGCACCTTTTGTGGGAGTATCTCAAAAAAAGCAACTCCTTCACGGAAGCTTTTCATAAAAAGAAATACCATTTTCATCAGGCTAGGTGATACCCAATTACCCTAAGAGGCGGCCCGTGTGTCATTTGTCCAATTAAGCTTAAAAAAGTATCACTCGTATGCTCTGGATGAGTTTTCAGCTGCACTAATCGGGTGGTTATGATTCTGGTTAAATAAAAGCGGTTTCCTGTTATTAGCACAATAACCATCTGACAGCCTAAAGCAGTCTTTACCAAAATAAACAAACATGACTAATTTTTTAGGCCTGGCAACATGCTAAAATATCAGTGTGATTAGCCAGTAAATCCCATTTTAAGAAACCTTTTTATGACTGGGGACTTCTGCCACTTTACAAATTTATTCCTCTAAGCCCACTAATTCAGTTAGCCTTTTCAATCCATTGTATTATTCTTGGGCCAGCTTCATTTTGCATTAAATCCACTGCAGAAAGCTAAATTGAACGCAAAAATCAGACTTGATCCAGGCTTCCTTTTGTTCAAAGATAGAGACCGAAAGTCCTCTGCTGCTGCCACACACTTTCATCACCAATTTATAGGAACCGACAGTGTAAGGGAAAAGCAATGAAAGTCATTGTTTTGGGACTTCAAAGCATCTCTGTATCTGGGGAAGGAAATCCTTTCAGTCAGCAGTGCTTTCCCCCCAGACTGCAGGTGGGTGAAAAGTTATACCCAACTGGAAGTGCCCCAGAGCCATAGGGATATTAATGACATACAGGGACTATTTAAAGAAAATATATAATAGTAAGAACACAAGGGGCCTAATTAAGAAAATGAAATGGAAAATTAATTGGTGTGCGCTTTATGCTGAAGTGGTGAAGATTAAGAATAGGCAAAACGACCGCATACACCGCATACTCGTGTCTATTTTTCTCAGAAGCACTCGTTGTCAAGCACCCAAGTATGTATGCCTTTAAAGTGTAGCACGGCTTAATTTTAATGGAGAAAAAACAGAGGGTCAGGCTTGGGAGGGAAGCAAATCACTGAGAGTCCAATCCTGCTCCCGTTAAAGTCAGGGATGGAGCCCGTGCTGTATTTCTGATTTCAGTGACAACCTGAACAATAAGAACTGAGAAATGCTTGTTATATCTCTTACTGTTATGTCAATGACAAGTCTCAAGATAAAAAAAAAAAAAAAAAAAAAGGAAAATGTGTTGAATAATCAACAGGAAAAAACCCAGTGCATTGCAAACTATGCAACTGCACTGCCATGAAGATTTTCTGCGTTTCTTACTGTGAAGGCTTTGATAAGAAATCATTTTCCTCCTCACGAAGTACAAACCCGAAATCGGAACACACAGGTACTGAGACAAAAGCATTAATCAAAACTTACCTTAATGTCTTGCTCTGAGCTATCAGTTACAGCTTTCTGAGCAGCACTGGAGAGTGAATTTGCCACCTGTGGCTGAGCTTCTAGGAGCTTCTTCAGCTTCAAATCCACCAACTTACTGTTTTGTTCTGCTAAATATGCAAATACCACATACAACAGAGTGAGATGCATTTAAATGCAGAGTCGCTACAACAATGTAGAAATTTAAAAGGTAGATTTCATTCACTTTGCTATCATTTCAAACTAAAAAAGTAAAAACTAGAAGGAATTTTTTTTTTTTTTTTGCAATTCAGATTGGCGTAAATTTGTATAACGTGCATAGATAATGCCTAAGTTCTCTCAAAAAATATATGCAGCACTCAGCTGAACAAGTAAACGTGCTTGAAGACAGTCAATGAAAACACACAGAAAGGAGACAATGTTTACTTTAAGTTACTCCCAACCTGTACATACCTATACTTCGGTATAAAAACACCCTTAAAGAGCCATTTGTTTTAAGATGACATATAACAATTTATCACATATTCTAAGTACTGATAACCCCTCAAGTTTATGAACTACTAATTCATCCTAAGGCTCCTTGGCACAGCTTCTCAACATTAAAATTTCAGTATCAAAAGAGACAGCTTTCTAGTAATATTTTACTATGATTTATAGAATACGTTGAAGCCGTGAGAGCTGTAAAACGCTTCATAACTGCATCGAAGGGACAGATTCAAAGTCTGCTGAAGCCCCCAAATTTTTTTTCATCAGTTTTAGCAACTTGGATCAGAGCCCAGAGAAATAAGAGTCGAGAATTTTACCTCCCAATAATGCTCATTCTGTACATGACTGTTGACTATATGAATTTGTAACACGCCTACACACACACTTACCTACACATACACACATAATAAGGAGAAAGGTGTTAATAACAAACCACAGTGCAGATCTATGGAGCTAACCCTGGGTAGGAAGGCAGAACAACACTGGCGCAGAAGCCCCCAGACATACTCTACATGCAGCACCACGTGAGAAATTGCCCCTGAAACGGAGCAAATGCAGCATCATCTGCGTATATCATGCACATACATCTGGGCCTTGGGTCAAACACTTGGGTCAAAAAATAGCAGTTGCTATGTTCTTCTATAGGCACAGCCTGAGATTTTCACTGCGGGCTGGTGACTTCTAGTTGGTGTGGGAAGTGGAGCCATGACTCTTTTGCCGCACAGCTCCTTCCAAGGTTTGGAGCGCTCCGATTCATGTTAGCCAAAATATTTTTGGCACGCTGGCAATCAAATGATGCCTGCCACCAGCAGCAATGGGCTGGGTTGGGTTATGACGAAGGATAGTTTCCCTTTCCTCTGGCACACCCAGTCAGAGTGCCCTTAATTGAGGCTCACATGTAAGTACATGCACATTCTCGTGGGTTTATACATAAACATCATGTAATAACTATGATATAAGAGGTTCACATTTTATCAGATACATTCACAGCAGCGTATGGTAGCAGTACTGACAGACAGATGCAATATTTAAAACCAACAACTGGCCGCAAAAATAAAAAAAAAGTTTTCTCTTCTTGAGAGAGATGGGAGGGACTAAGATTCAGCAGGGGACAAATTAATTAAGACGGTTGTAATGATCCCAAATGTGAAATGTCCCTTACAGTTTTGCATTTAGGTGCTCCCAGGAGATTCAGCCTTCATTAGAACTTGGTATGAATTGGCAGAATCCCATCGAAAACTGTGTACACTGATTTCTATCACAGCATTAGACTGTTTTCTGTATTATTGTCCATCCCCTTCCTTACTCGTCTGTTCCTCTGGCTACTGTGCAGACTGAACTGCAAAATGATGTCCCAGTTTTTTTCCAGAATGTCTTCCCATGGTGGAGATGAAGCATTGGGTAGTGGGTTTGTATCCATGAGAAGGTATCTCTCAAGAAAAAAGGCCCACAGATATAAATGTTGGTAAGTCACTGGGGCTATGTAACAGGAATATTCATTTACTGATTTTCTATTTCTCCTAAAATGAACCAGTATTTATTGGAAAAGTATTTGACAAGGATTCTGCTCTAAATCAGCTTAATTCAAATGCTGGAAATACTAAATATATTTTCTTATGTGTTTGGAAATCCTCAAATAAAAAAAATAAAGGACATGACTCAAACCTTTTGCATTCAAAAAAGTCTAGAAAGTGCTATACACACATCATTGTCGGTTTAATTTACAAAGAGCAAACACTAACGAAGTCTTTTGATTTAATATATTATGGGCTACAAACTTGGGTCCGGTTGGCATGGGCAGAACTAAGTCAGAGGATGCTGTAGGAAGTTCTCTCTTGTACTGCCTTTATCCCGATACTGTCCTGTGCTTAGCACACTTCTCTGGGCTCGAGCTAACTTGTAGGGAGCAGAAACGCCCTGGCAGAGCAGCATACCGTACTACAAAGAGGCCCTCAGCAATCCCCAGGGCCACTGGCAACAGGCAGACTTGTACAGAGAACAAACTCCTTTAGCAACTCTGTGAGCAGAGGAGCCCCTTACTGATGGGCAATTACCTTCACATCTTTGAAGATCTAGTGCATTTTTAAATAAGCATCTCCCTTGTAAGATCCTGACATATTTATCATCTATGGAGGAACCTGAACTCCAGTTTTGCTTTATTACAATTTTTGAAAGGGGAAATACCACTACTATGATTTATTATTACTTGACCAGCATGTGCTAAGATTATACAAGCATTTCTACAAGAATACATGTCATGCCATGGCAGGAGGGTTGGACTAGATGACCTTTAAAGGTCCCTTCCAACCCAAACTATTCTATGATTACGAATGGTTTTCAAATGTGTTATTAAAAATCTATTACTTGAACTTTGTAAAGTAAATAGGACTAATTCTGTTCAAATTTATACCTCCATGTCCCCACTTGAGCAACAAGGTATAAATACAAGAACTGGTACTCAGGAAGGAACTGGAGGGCTACCAAGCCTACAAGGAAACATAGAGGCATGTTTGCTCCTTTCACTGAGCAAGTGGACCAGAATGTCGGTGCGGAGAGCAGCAGCTGTACTCACCAACTCAGTTGCTCACTGCTCTGGCCTGCCTACCTTGCTTTGCTGGGATAATCCAGGTAGGGTGATTTCAGGTGGTTCTGCTTTACAAATCTGGCCTGGGTCCCCTTCCCCATCAAGAGACATTTAAGTCTGCCATTGTTGGAAATAATGATTTGGTTGCTGATTTTAAATTTCAACTAAACATGAATGCAAAGTATTAAAAAAGAATAAGCATCAGGGTTTAAAAGACCTGAAAAGGCATGAAGGAATAAAGCTATGACAGAGAGAAGCAGCACATCAGTACTAACATGATAATGGCGTGTTAGTCATGCAAAATACACAAAATAGCCATTATTTAAATTACCCGTTGAATCAAGGTCATTTTCTAGGTTAGTAAGCTCATCTCCACCTCCAGTAACAGAGCATTCAGGAACCTCCTCATTAGTATCTATCTCAATATTATCATCATCCTCATCCTCATCTGTAGGAACATACAGCATTAAGGTTAGTATTTTCTTATGTACATGCACCACATCACTAAAAAAAAAAAGAATGCTTTAGAGAACAAATAGAGTTATGATAAAAATGCAAATCATTAAATAAGTCTGAAAGGAGATTTCACTCTGTCCACTCATGGATTTAACTTTAAACTGATGCAATTCAATATACACACAGGGGGCTCTGCTGGAAACTTCTGCTACAATAAAGGTTGAGTCTGGCCTCAGCAGCGGCTGTTCTCTGCGCTGAATCTTTGGCTAACTCTGAAAAGCATGTATGCTTTTCCTCATAACTCGAGTCAAAATAATTTCCCTTAGGCTCCCGGTTCTCTATAATGCAGAATGGATGCCGAAGCTGGCATACGGCAGGTTTGGATGGCAGGAGAAGGACCTGGGAGCCGCAGTCTCTTGAGAAAGGCAGCAGCTCCAGGTACTGAGAGTGTTGTACCTCTCTCCCAGCTCAGTGAGAGTTGCTACTCCTTACTTTGCACAATACATCACAGACCAGTGATCACTGTACCTTACTCAGGTGTTAGCATCTTCCACCATTTCTGATACAAAGAGGAAAACTACCACCTGGCACATCACGCTTTGCAAGCACTGACCTCAGGTGTAGCAAGAGCACAGTCACAGATTGCTGCCTTACTGCAACACTTTGAATCAGCGTTGTTTGTAAGCTACATACATTTTAAATAAAATAATAATTGTAATTGTACTTTATATTTTTTATTGGCTCTTTCTACCCAGTTTCTCAGAGCAACTTATGAATATCACTTGTAAATGAGCCCCATAATGTTTTATGAAGTAGGCGATTATTATAATTACAATTATGATGATGTAGGTAAATTATGGCACAGAAAGAGTAAGTAACCTGAGGAAGATCAAATAGCAAATGCTGAATTGTGAAGCAGATCCCAGAAAAAAAAAAAACTGACTCACATTTTCAATACAAATATATAATGAAATTACAAGTCCATAAAAGCTAGATTAATACCTTCAAAACATGTAGTTGCATTGTATTTACTCACTTTTAAGTCTCATATCAAATGCTATCTAGACTTGTTCAGACTTATACAAACATTTTTTTCCTATGTATATATGCATGCATGTAAAAACGACAAAAAAGAGAAGGCTGGAGTGCGTCTGGAGAAAGAAGACACATATAGTAACTAAAGGAACTTTAAAAACACTTCACAGTAGGAAAAAATACTAATTATAATTACCGGACATTGGTACATTCAAACGCCATATAAACAAAAAGGATCCTAAACATAGTACCAAGATGCCATAATCCTGAATACCAGAAGTTTGGGGAAGTTTGGACCAGGATTCGTGCTCATCACTCATCATCTGTCTTTGAAATACACATCCCCAGATGCTTGCACTTCAGGCCCACACTGCTGACAAAAAGGTCATACAGTTGTTTCTTTTCTTTACCTCTTTATCTCCACAGTCCCTATAATTCCCATTTTAGGAGCCTGTTGACTTTTTTATATGTCTGCTACTCTTTTCTAACCAGCTGCTCCCTCAGTTCCTCTGTAATTAATCAATGTCTTTCGCAGACCTCTGCCGATTCAGTGTAAGGCTCTTGCTGTGACAGACAGAAGCAAAGAAGTTTCTGTTTCAGTGTCTTATTCAACATCTGTTGTGTGTACGATGGAGCAGCAGTCTGTGAAGTAGGACACCTCTGTTTCAGCTGACCACCATGACTTCCCTGGGCTCCTCTCCACTAATTCTCAATGGTCCCTGAAAGAGTCAGCTTTCCTCCAAACTGCCTCAGCTTGAGCCAGATGGATGGAGAACAACACCTCTCCCCAGCCAAACCAGGATCTGCGACCAGACCTGGGACCTGACAGATAGTGCTTCAGGTGTACAACTGGGCGGGCAGAAACACTCAGGACTCTCTGTGACATTCTTTCTGTTCCCACTTAAATTCACACAGATGGTTCTGTGATCTGGACTCCAGTTGTTTCAGGTAGCACAGAGGTAGGTGAACAAAGTAGAAGGGCACAGTGTGATCATCATGAAGTGGAGAAAGGGATGGGGTAAAAAGCAGACTGAAGAGAAAACAGAGAATGGTAAAGCAGCAACAGCAACAACTCTAAAGTTCTGAATTTTCTTCAAAGCATCTCTACTTTTTCTAATGAGGAGCTGGATTTCTCACATGATTTTAAATCCTTCATGATGGTGTCAGAGAAATTCAGTGGCACTCAGGCCACGGTACTCTCAAACGTATCCTGGAGCTCACGGTGGCACACTGAAAGCATGACTGGGCTAACAGCAGCAAAGGACCATGGACATTTGGAAGAGGTGGAAGAGAAAGAAAGAGGGACACCGCTGTGGCAGAGGGAAACCAAATCCACCTCGAGCCTACAGGCAGGCAATGACTTTCCAAAGCACCCAAAGAAGTCAGCTCGCAAGGTCAGCTCACAACTACCAGTCATCCAGCAGGATGCTGGATGTGTCAAAACAATCTAAACAAGATGACAGGGTTTTAGACTGCTGCATACTAAGGGACTGCTTATATTAGATTATTTGATTTTATTTAATTTAATATAGCGAGATGAGATCAGAGGCACTGTCTTCGACACCACCATTTTAGGTAACGAAAAAGATGGGAATGTTGAAGACATTCCTAGTGTCAGATAATGACCCGACCTAGTATTTAATTTAAAGTTGGCAGGCTTTGACTGAATATGATTATCAGGACATTTACACTTTATTAAAAAAAAAAATTCAATTAAAAGCATTCATTTGAAGTAATTTTAGAAATTTTCAAATATCTTTCAAAATCTACAGATTCTTTGTTTTAAACTACTCTAGGTTTTTTTTCTCCAGTCCAATGTTCTTCCAGTGTATTAAAAAGGGAAATGTGTTTAGGGAGCATGTTACAACAAGATTTTGCAATTACAAATGATAAAAGGAACAACATGACGAAGAGATAACAGATATCTTTTATGAAAAGAACAAATTACTAGTGTGAAAAACTTAAAGCATTTGGTCTAGAACCAGGGCACGTATTTAGAAGAGTACTAAAGAACTGCTTCCTTGAAAAGTATGTAAATGTGGATCCTAGAAAGACAGCGAAGCTTTACTATGTCATGAAGAAATGAAGAAAATTAAAGATAAAGGATTAAGTCAACAACTAAACAGCACTGACCATTACCTACACAGTAGGTAGGTACTGCAGTCTGGACTGCAGAGAGCGAACTAAGAATCTTTTGGAACCAAATGGAAATGCCAGAATATTGGTGGGAAAAAAGATCCAGAGGCATTTTATAGCTCATATGTCTTACTATTCAGATTAAGCTCAGGCTTAATTTGTGGTTAAACTGATATTCTCTTGACTTGGTTTAAGCTTGTCCACATGTGAAGGAGTTGCAGCAGACTGCATCAATTTCTAGACAAAATTAAAAAGGAACAATTTTCATAGAGAGGTAAAAGCACTGATGGGGGCTGGATCACATTAGTGGGAGAAGCATATGTAAGCTGCCACTGGAGTTGCATGAACAGTACTCGCTCTTTAGGGAAGATGCCTCCAGGATTGTCTCTGGGAAATCCTTCAAGCTTGTGGATACTCAGATATTTAGTTTATTTACTTTTGGGTACAGAGTTCACTTTAAGGCTACAGGATGTGACAGGAGCATCTGAACAGTAATAAAGGAAGCAAAGGCGGGGAATGGAAGAAATGCAGAGTCGAAATACTGGTTCAGTGTACAAGAAATCAGATGTCAGGACAAGAAAGTACAGCAGTAACTGCCAACAGATACAAATACTGCCTGTTAAAAACATTAAATCGAGGACTTAATGCTGTTTTATGAGTTTGAGACTAAGCATGATGAGTAAGCCTGAGCTACCACGTACATTCCTTCCAAATCATTGCCTTAGCAGTAAAATCTGTAACGTACCCTGAAAACTTTAAGCATACAAGTGCAATGCAACGCCAGCTGGCTCGCTTCGGTAAGTTTTTTAACTGCAGTACACCTTTCCAGCTTTTGTTATTAATTCCAAAATTTTTGAAAACTTTTTTTGTTTTACAATACATTTGGATTCTGCTTCTCCTGTGTTTTTCCCTCCCTGCTCCTCTAACATCTTTCTGTGTTGTTCTTGTGTTCATTCTCTTCTCCCCTCCCAGTTTTGCCTATTTTTGGCACTTTTTTTTCACCAAAGCCTCTTCACACTATGCTTGTCTTACCCCCTGTCCTCTCTATTGTTCCCTCCCTCTGCTGCCTACTCACCACCTCCAGATCCGAGCCACATCCTCACAAAGATGCCATCTCAAATAAAGGATGGAGATGTGCCAGAGAGTAAAGAAAACACACTACCCAAATCCCAAGAGAGTAGACGGGTGTGCCACTGCACAGGGACAATACCTAGATAAGATGTCAATTCCTTTGTCCCGTCGCTGCTGGGAAAATGGAGGATATTTGGATTCCTATCTCGATATTGTCCCTGGACCCATCTCAAGGCATCCGCTTATCAGCCTGAAGCTAGTAGGACATCTAATAAATTTGAAGCTGCCATCCCAAACCCTCTGGCAGTTGGCAGGAAGAAGTATTTTCTGTCTCACATGTCAAATAACCTATGAAAAAGACTGGATTTTGTAGCAAAGGATGCTGCTTATCCAGGAAAGTTTCAACTTGCCATAGGCATTTGAGTTTTTCAGACCATGATTAAATAAAGCCTTTTAACAGAGAATGTAGCACCAGTGCCAAAGCATGAAACTCTTAATGAGCATATAGAAACATTGAAAGAGATCGCATTTTCACCTACAATAGTGGGCAAGAGGTTAGTCTTTAAAAACTCCAAAATCCCAAAGCTGAAATGTAACTTTTTTCTGGAATAACTGAATTGAGAGAGGACAATGATTTGGTACATTCCCTTTTTGTAAATTAAAACATAGCAATCAATGCAGAAGGAGAGATTAATGAAGCATAATGGACAAGAGAGCTTGGAAGACATAAGATATTACTACAAGCTTGTCTTGAGTATTGTATAGGGAATACAGCACTATACACAGAAAAAAACCTGCTACATGTGAATGCAGTCAGGGGCAATATTCAGAATCCATTTGTAACAAGGAGACTGTCTATTAAATCCTAATTTTTAGTGGAAATAAAAAGACGAAAAAGACTGAACCCAGAAATAATTATAATTTATTTGGTTTATAACGTGTTGATGCCATTTCACAGAACTACTCCATTTTAGAAGAATGAATTTCTTGAGCGGAGATCTAGTGTGGCACCTGACATTACCAGCGGTGTGGTAGAAGTATGTGGAACATGTGCCATAAGGAAAGCTTTCTGAGAATGAATAAGTAGAAGTAAGTGCTATAAAATGCACATTGATGTGAAAAGAGCAAAGAGGAATAAAAGGAGACAGGGAATGAAAACTGGAAGTCCAAGAGAAGTTCAAATAGCTTGGCCGAACTACTGTATGAACAAAGAAAAATCAAGGTAGGAACTATAAACCAAGGAGATAATTCAAAGCACATGCAAAAGTAGAAAGCAGTGAAATTGTTATACTGGATAAAACCCAACAGGTACAGTGGTGATAGCTATAAACAAGTTGTCATCAGTACTGATACTGTCTCCTCCTTTAATAACGCTGAAACTCTCTGAGTGCATATGCAATCTATATATATAAATACTTTTTTAAAAAATATATATGCACAGTTACCTCTGAGACTGTTTATAAACTGAATGAAGGGCAGGAAGAGCAATGGCAAAACGCAGAGGAAAATATGAACAGGGAAGGCCAGATCCCAGAAAGCAGCATACTGGGATATTTAGCAACACTACAAGTGAGTCACTGAGACAAAACAGGGTAACTACTATCCAGCTGAGCACTCAGGATATACCCAGAAAGTGTACCTTACTTGGAGGGAAGAGATGGCAGGAACAGCTATGTACAGGCACAATAAAACAGTGAGGAGGAAGTTATTAAATAACATAGAATGGAAAGTCATAAATTGTGAAGAGGGATGAAGAACACCATAGTCTACTTAATATACAAGTACTGTGCCATTTTGCTCAGCCTGGCTTACTCCCTCCCCATCAAGAATGTAGTTTCCCTATTTATCATGAAAGAGAGTTATGTTGGCAAGCTTGGTTTACTGGGCAAAGAGAGGAAACTGAAGACCAAACCCAAAGAGAGACGTACAACTAACTGCTTTTCTCTTTGATGTTAAATGGAACAGAAGTGTAGGGTTTAGGGTGCAATAAGACTATATTTAAATATATATGCATATAAAATACACGTAATAGAGAAGAAAAAAATATTGTTGTTGAATCTACATGCATTGTGAACGTAAAGCTGGATTTTCCTGACACTTTGGCTTACAATTACATGTTAGTATGAGAAAAACAATTTCCCCTTAGAATACGTAGAAGACACTAAAAGAGCAAGAAGCCTGTACTGAAACGTGTGCTCAGCACCCATTTGAGTCTGAGTGACACTACATTACTCCAGCTCGTAGCACTGGCAGGTATATGAATTTTAATGACATTTCAAAGTCAGTTTAAAAACATTATAGCAATATTACAACTCAAAACCTGTGAAGGCAAGTGGTATGTCAAAAACCTGCCATTTAAAATCAAAAGGTTGTTGCCTCCACCTCCCATGGGCCGCCTTTAAAATTCTCTTCCCAAGCAGTCTTTTGAACACATTTAATACAAAATAAAGTTTCTTAAGTATTTCTAATGTTTTTTTCCCCCAAAATTATGTCCATGCTCCTATATAAAAATATATATTGAAGAGATTTTAACCAACAATCATAAAATTCTAAAAAACTGTGGGCAATGACAAATCTGTAAATAATGGGACAATATGAGCTACTTGTTCACATAACATCTTTTTTTTTTCAATCACATATATGCTTTTCTTTTAATTGTTGGAAATTAAGTGACACACTGATGATTTAGGAAACATATCTACGGCCAGGTCTTTTGATATGTGCACCTGATGAACAACAACATTTTGAAGCATGAATAAAAGTGATACCCAAAAAGGTCTCTGGTTTCTAGGTTGCCATAGGAATAAGATACAAGGTTCCTCAGCTCACCTCCAGATGCCTTTGACCTTTCTTTCAACTTTTCTGCAGCCATTTCACTGTAGCTAGGAAGTTCTGACATCTTCACTCCAGATCGAGCTTCTGCTATTAGCTGACGAGCTCGCTCCCTCAGCTGCCGCCGCCGCTCTTCATCTTGCTGCTAAGATATATTGAACAGTTGCCAACTCAGTAATAGACAGAAATGCAATTTCATTCTCAATCTGATCATCATGATAGTAACTGGTTTACAGCATGGTGCTTGGCCCACATTATAAATAGGATGCTCGATTACAGTTGGGTGTCACACCACAATTTTTAAAGACATCCATGAATCAGATTTTTTTTTTAAAGCATTCCCCAAATTATTAATGCATTAGAAACCTAATTATTTTCAATTTACAGCATTTATAAACTATGTTCTGTAAAAATACCTTGATGAAAATTCTCAGACACTTTTGTCTCAAAGTAATAACTACAAAAAGTTTTACCTTGGCTATAAAAATGGTTTTACTAAATTGAATTACTTGTTTGAGTAATATTCTCTCATAGAACTGAAATAAGAAGCCAGATGTTGCTCTTGGTTACTCCAATCACGAAGCTGACTTCAAAGTGTAAAGTGACATCGAATCTGAGGCATGGAAAGGAATCTAATCCTTTGACTTCAATGGATACCTCTTAAAAAAAAAAAATAAACTAATAATTAATGAAAATTAATGAAAGAACAATAGATGCCAGAGCAGAAAAGACTTTGCATCGCTTTAAAACATCCTACTAGTGGGGCTTTGGTCAGTAATTAAAGAGATCATACTGGAACCATCCCAGATAGTGCTGTCCCACTAAAGTTCGTAACTATCTTAGAAGCACGATAATATTTCAGTCACATAAATGAGCAAAGTTCTACAGCATGAAATTTTGGAAAAGACTAACCCACCATACTAAAAAAATATTAACAGAAAGATGTGTTTAAACATATCTATAAGAATCCATCAAACCATAACGAAAACAATTTCAGTTTTCACCTTAAAAATATGATTTTTTCAAAGTTAGGACTGTTTTCCCCCTCCCCTCAATATTAGAAATGCTTACAAGTGCAACAAAGTCAGCATTTGGCTTTAAGTCAAATCTGCCGATAACTTCATATTAGTGACATAATGACCAGGATAAAACCCAGGTATAGGCAGTTGACCTGAACGGAGTAGAATATAACAAACGGCTTAACTTTGGACAGTCGTCCTGGCAGCCTTCCCACCAACCCAGAAACTGAGCATCCCACACCTGCAGATGCTGGTGAGAGCTGCTGCCAAGTGCTATTTAGTTTAAGCAATCATTAATAAAACAAGCGCAAAATACTAATTAGGTACATTTTAGCCATTTCCATGTAAATTGTTTGTTTGTAGCTATTTACTCAGCATTGTTCTCGGCACAATAGAAAAAATGCAAATGACTGAATCAGAATGCAGCCCTAATGGGACTTTCTGTTTATAACCATTAGCCCAGAGGTGTGCTGTAATTCAATCCTCAAGCAGCAAGATTTAGCCTCATTAACAGCTTGCATGGGCAGGTTACAACTCATAAAACCCTACAGTAAACAAAGTATATAGACACAGCACAATATCTTGTCTCTGAGTGACAGAACCCTGATTCCCTATCAGATTGCCTTGATTTACTTTTCTCCTAATGTCCTTCCCCTAGAAAGACAATGCTGCCTGGGCCCTGCAAGGCAGCGGGATGGCACATTGGCTTTGTTTGCTTTCTCACCCTTTAACTTCCCAGAAGGCACAGAGCAACAGTTCTATCAAAAACTTATTTGGTAAAGTACACATTAGAAAGACAACTAGAAAGCTTCCCCCCTGCTCCTATGCACTATAATAGATCAATTTAATTTAATTTCTAGCCAGCCAACTGATAGAGCAACTGATTTTATTTCGACCCGCGGTATTCGGTAACATAAATTACATTGAATTTTGCATTAAATAAAACTGCTCAAATCTCTGCTATTTGTAATTCCTGGGATATAGGAGCTTGTGGGTTTGATTTAAATGACTTTTAAGAAGGAATGTGCAAAATTTATATTAAGATTCCCATGTGGTTGAACATCAAACAATTTAATCTACTACAGCCCACGTAGTTTAAAATAAGGCCAGTTACGTGTTTGTGCCAAATGTGCCCTAAACTGAGCAGGCTGATTCCCCGCTCTCCTTTTCTCCCCTCCTCCTGAAAGAGAACTTGTATCCTGAATTATTAGCATAGTCATTAACATCCTGGGGATCTCCAAGCAAACACAGATTATTGTGGCTTGTGTTTGTGCTGATTAAGCCAATCATCACCAGAGGATAAGAGAAAAAACAGCCTAGTTCTTGCTTAAATTCAATTCAGGTATTTGAACCCTCGGTTACTGAGCTCGGCAGAGGAAACACTGGTGGAAGGAGCAATGAATCTGAGAGCAGAAAAGGTAGGTAGATTAAGTTTTGAGGTACAGAACAATTATTAAACAGCAAATCAATCCCCTAGGTTTTGGAAAGGAAAGCGCTTGGGAGAGGTATGGAGGCATGAATATAGATATTTAAAAAAAAAGGAGACACGAAGAGAAGCTCTGCACCAAGAAAGGACCATGCAAACACAGATACAGTGATTTTTTTCCTGTACAGTTGAAGAGAAAACTCAGTAAAATCTTTCACCCTCTGACATGAACCTGACGTGCCAAAGAGACATTGAAGTTTGCTCTGTTATTTTCCCCCAAATACTTTGTAATGGTCTAAAAATCTGCCACGCGGATGCACGGCGAGGAAAACTTCACCATTTAAGGACAAACTCTTCAAGAATAAGTAATGTAATTCCTTGTTTCCCTCCTATAAAAATGTATTGGTATGCAATTTTTATATTTCACAGTTCACCGGCATCTCGGCAAGCTTTCTTCCACTGCTTCAATGGTGCTACTTTTAATTTTATCCTCCTTAGTCCTAGTAATTAAAGTGATCAGCAGTGGCATCCCAACGGCTTTGACACAGCTACAACCCCCTAGCAGACTCCGGCTTTTGAGGGGAAGGGGAAGAAAAAAAGGACGGGAGTTTCATTTCACTGGAACAAGAAAATCAAGCTTCTCCAATCCTCAACTTTATCCAATTGTTCTTTCAGCAGCCTTTGGATCTTAAGAAACAAATAAAAATGGCTGCCATTAGGGGGTCCCTTTTGTACTCGCCGCAGACGGCAATGACTGACATTACTTTGGCCAAAAATGATGCTGTGGATTTGGGAAGGTGAATTCGAATGTGAAACATTGGCGGGGCAGTTTCCGAGATCATTACCCGGCCAGCAATGTCGCTCGGCGGCAGCAGAAGCTGAGAGCTGACCAACTCAGTAAAATATTGAGAGCAGTGGAGTCTTGCAGGGGAAAAAACCCTCCAACCACCCTCATAAAACCTTAAATCACTGAAGATTCTGCAATCTTCTCGCATTTTCAAAAAAAAAAAAAACCTCTGCCAGGGATTTTCAGTCATCCTGTGGCAGAACTTTGGGAGGATCCAAACTGAGTTTACATCAAAAGTCTGATAACGTATTATACGCTCCCTATAAAAAAACATAATCCCATGAGCTGCATTTATTTGGTGTTTAAAAAGAAAATTCTTTACCGTGTCCATGGACTGAGGGAAAAAAAAAAACCTGGTCAGTTAGTGATACTCCACAGCAACAAAATTAAACCGGAATTGTACCTATGAGGGGGAGTGACTCCGATAGCTGTAGGTTTCAAAATCGTCCATGGTCTGCCCTGAGTGCACAGTACGTCTAAGAGAAAGAACTTGACTGCCACCTCTTTCATCATTAGACAGAAAGAACGGCTCTGTTATTAGCCATTCAGAAAGAAAAAGACTTCTGTGCTTGTCCAGAGGCAAGGATTACCAAAATGTACCTATTCAGTTAGTAGAGAAGACAGAATAAAAAAAATAAAAAAAAATAAAATTACACGAGCTTTAAAGGTTTGGGCAGGCTGGGTTTTACTGTGACCTTGATCGGCTCTTGTTTGAGTAAATAGGATTTGGGATGAAACATTAAAACTGTTTAGCAGATCTTTTCAAACCATTTCAAACTTTTCTTATGTTGGTTTATAATATAACCAGACATGCTTGTAAATGGCCACACCTGCTCATTTCTCTGGGGATGGCCTGATCTCTGCCTTTTCTAACAAAGAAAGGACGGGAGAAAAAAAATCAGCCTTTCTTGTTGCAAAACAGAGTGGAAAGTCAAAATCTTTCTCAAGTTTGTCCCATCTGGTCAGATTAAATCTTTGATCACCCTGGGGACCACATTTATGTTTGGTCTCTACTACCGTTTCAGAACAGCTCAAAATACACAGGTAGTGAGCAAGATATGAATTGCTAAGCAGGGAACACTCGACATAAACAAAAGTGCATTGGCTTTGGATTTCTGTGGCTAGTCAGATCGTAGGAAGTGGTCAGCAAAGACAGACATAAACATCTTAGACATTTTCTGCCTTCTGCCTGGTGTCTATATCAGCTACCTTACTACCAATAAACTGTATGTAGCTTGAAAATATTTTTTCATGAATGTATATCACAAAAAGTATCAAATCACTTGTCATAAAGAAGCAGCTATTGGCTTACGATCTATGGCACTGATGGACTAATGAGACAAGACAGAATGAAAACAGAAGCAGCCCAAAGTCTAAAACTGGAAGAATCGCAAACAATGTCTTAACAAAGCTGTTCCCTTTAAGAAAAAAAAGCCCCCAAAATTCACAATAAGATGGGGTTGTGTGGCTGTAAAATGGAGGTTTTTTTACCTAGGAGGTTTTTTTTAAAGAAATGTTTGCCAGCAATTTTTAATTTTTATTTCTTTTTTTAATATAATTTATGTTGTTCTGGAAAACCTGTAATTCACTTGGTACAGTATTTCTGGTGTGAAGAATGCTGGCCGTAGAAAAACAATCCATTGATAATTTAATTCCTTGTGTCATTGTGAAATTGAGAAACTCTTAGTTTACTGAATGAAAAAAAATATATATTTGAAAAAAAGAATGGCTGACTAAGTAAGTATCACCTTGTGCTACATCCAAGGCCTCTTGCTGGTTGTCTGGCTGCTCTTTTGTAGGCAAAAAGGAGCTGAACGCTCTCTGGCTCCTTAGATCTGGCCCAACAAATGCAC